CATTTAATTATAATAATGGTGAATTAGTCTACTTCCAGTGGAGAAGCAGTGTTCGGTATTCGGTATCCCAGAGAACGGAGGCTCTGTGTGTCATCACGAGTTCTTGACCAACACGGACAGATGTCAGGTGAAATGTAACAAGGGGTTCGAGTACGTGGAAAGAACCAATGCCTTTGAGGTGTGTGGACCGGCCACCAACTGGCAGTGGTCTTACGAGATTAATAAAACACCGGTCACTGGATGTGTGGGTAAGAATGGAGCTTTGGTGACTTTGGTGATTAGACAAGAAATGTGCTTTAAGGCAATTACAGTGCGGATATAGCCTTGAGTCCTTTGGTCAAAAACTTACATTCGAAAAGAAAGATTAGTTAAAATCAACTTCTTGTGGTTCCCGTTAGCTCACAACTTATTTATTTGCACTGCTTTTGTATACAATTATGAAATAATGAAGACAATATTATTTAAGAAAAAAAAACTTATTTTGTCACTCTTTTTCTTATTACAGAATTCATATTTCCACAATAATTAATTTCACGTTGTTCGTTCTTCAATACTTTCATAATTGTGACGATTATTTAATTGCAGAGCAATTCTTTCCTGGAGTGGAACTAGAGGCAGAAATAGCGTACTTTGTTGACGACTGTGTGGCTCTTACTTCTACTCAGCGTAGAGAAGCAAAGCAAGCTTTGGTTGACATTTTAGAACAAAGGGGTGTCTGCAAACAAAATGGCGTCTCTGTTTGTAATATCTCGGACGTCCAAATTGAATGCGGTCCTCAGTATTCCTTTGGTGGTGTTCGTAAACGTGACACGTCTGGCAATATTCTGTGGTTCAGATTTAAGATCAAAACACAACAGAAGCCTTCAATTGATTTAGACTGTACCAAGTATTGTAATGGCTCTGAAAACTGTGGCGAATGCGCCCAAGGATACATGACAGAGACGGAGAATATGATGAACAACCAGCAGAAAGAAGTTCAGGAGATATTCAGCCCAGTTGGTTCTCAAATTAATGAAACAGCGGCAAATGTCACAGAAGCGCCTATTCCACCACCAGTGCTGAAGATTGGAACTTTGGTGCTGAATCCGGTGCCAAACAGCTTCAAGATGGACAAGAATATGTCGGTGTCTTGTGAAGATGTCATGGAAGTACGCGGGACATCCTGTGGTGAGTATATCCGCCGTCTTTTACATGATCTGTGTATACTATAATCATTGAACTCTATACAACTATATGACAGCCTCATTTATACATACACTAGTCAGAGTCCAGCACCCCTTGACCCTCATGGTATTAATTTGACTCCTATATAAAGGTCAAATTACCCCACTACCAGAGTCTTTAGACTCCCTTATCAGCGTCAATCACCCCTTGGCCCTCATGGAGTCGATCTGACTCTAAAATCAGAGTCAAATTACCGGGGGACAGTGTCTGGTGGCAGTGAGCAGACGTGCGTGGAGAGAACAGTTTTCATCATCCTTTGTCTGTATAAACATTACTTTATTGACCATAGTTGGTTTTATGCATGAACAAGTGGTATTCTGTGTGTTTCTGCATGCAGAACTCGTGCACTTCTTACTGGCCCGGGCTTTCAGTTGCCACACCCTTTATGTGATATGTTGGTATACAGGTCAGCAGGTTTTGTTTCCAGGTTGTAGTTTTGACCCGCCAATGCATGTCACTGGGGAGGTATGCTCACTCATTGATATATATATATATATGCTGTTTATTACCAGATTTACACACTGTTTGTTATTGCTGTTCCAACACCACATGCGACCGGATGGCCTTGTTGGTAGTGTCCGCGCGGGAGGGCGTAGGTTCAAACACTACCGGGGACATATCGGTCTTCAATAAACGGTTCCTGCTGTCAACCCGCTTGGCATTGTTGTTGCTGTTGTTTTCATAATGAGCCAAGGAGTCAAAAATCTTAATATGGGGTCATGGTTACTCTTTTGTTGAGATAAATCAAAGGATGAAGGGATGTGTGAATGGAGTCAATTGTGACCCTCCTGTGGGGTCTGGGATGGCGTTACTCCATCGGAGTCAACCTGACTCCAATTAGGAGTTATTTTAGGCACCACTGCTGGACTCCAAGTTTGGAGTCACTTGGACTCCGATTTTATTCTCAGTGAACTGAAGCCTACGTTTTAATTGTTTACCTATATGAATAATATTTCTATGGTTTAACGTCAAAGAAAAAGATATGAAGATCAATTGCCTAGTGCACATTGTTTACTTCTTATGTAATTGCAGGCCCTGCCCTTTTTTATCTTTGGGCTACGTATTTGGTTTGTGGTCTAAAATGTCATATATTTTCACAAGTTTATACCCGGACCTTAACTGCTTCACAGGGAATGTTTCATATTGACTGGCATTCAAACAGTTTGAGGTTGACCACAAAGGTCCGGGTTCTGAAAGCGTTTGAAAAAAAATTGTTTTCCAAGTTGGTGATTTCAATGCTAATAGATTATGATTGCAAATAAACATAATGATAGATATATAGTCATTTCATAGAAGCAGGTCTGGGTTTAACGAATTATCAGAAATTAGATGGTAAATACTTATGTCCGGGTGCTTGAAAATGAGTGAGAGGATTATTCAGAATACTGTTGTTTTAATTATAAACGAGAGTGAGTCAAAGCTGTAATTCAACTGAAAAGGAACACGTTCGTGATGTAAGCCTAGATATACGTAAATCAAAAATCCCGTTTTTCAATTTTTTCTGGCAAATCATGCAGTTAGTGTAAAGGAACTATCTGAACGTCGTGTTTATCTCCCAGTAACTGTAAAACCAGACCCATGGGTCTAAACAATGTACAGTCTGGCGTTCATTTGGGACATAAAGGACATGTGCAATTCTTTGTATTCTTGATATAGCATGCATCTTAATGCGTTTTATTGTTCTTTCAGTTCCCTGTCCTGCTGGTCGATATTTGCCGATAGGGGGCACCAGCTGCCAGAAGTGTCCACCAGGGACGTTCCAAACTGAAGCCAAGCGCACGTACTGCCTGCCATGTCCGCGTGGGTTTGCCTCCCTCACTGGATCTCCAGACTGCAGTCCCATATTCAAAATCTTCGTTGAATTTATCAAGCAGCTCCGTGAACTTGGGAAGACTATAAGTGAAAACCAGGGCAACATTTCGGCCATTTTTACATCCAAGTGAACGTGTGAAATACTGCAGCTGTAATAAGATCTATTTTAGATGTAAATGTCGCAATGGGGCTGGTTATATATGTGTATGTGTAGTACTTTAATTGCTCAAGTTTACCAGGTGTCAACATATAGCTAAGGTCGCACGATTTGTCCTCTTTGCTTATGGTGTAACCCCTCAAACTAGAACGCGTATTCAATTGAACCCTCGCTGAAACTGTTAAAGGCTTAAGCTCAAACTACAGATAAATGCATTCATTTATTGTCTTATATCGTGAAAAGTACGTGATTCTTTATAAGGCTCGTCTGAACGTCTATGCTGCCTTACATAAACATGTCTTAAAGAAGACACCCTGGCTTATAATGCGTTATAAAACTGTTACTCTCATTATAATAGGATGACTTTGTGTTTGATGTTTAATTGCTGATTTCCTTCTTTTGTTGTTGGTGATGTTTGGCAATCATGATTACATCGTTAAGTATCTGTACATAAATGATACTAGAAATGACGTACTGGTAAATAACAGCATTGTTTGATTATTTTTGTTATTTCATTTTCTAATATTTTAAGATAGACTTTAGTCTATGCTAATAATGTCTGGTAATTTCAAAGCAGATAAATAAAGTAATGATATTTATATCTGCAGTTTATGTGTTTGATTACTGTACCCTTACGTGGCATGACGGAAAGAAAATACACCATAATTAGCGGGAACTTTCAAATGTTTCAGTTTTCATTAATTTGTCATTTCTTTTGCGATATACAAACGAATTCACCGGATTCACGCCCTTTTATCCAAGCCATCAAAATCTTTAAATACACTTCTCCTTAAGTGCAATTCTACGAAAATCTATTTCCAAAGAAGAATATTCTTCTACCGAGATAAAACTTTCACTTATCTTTACTTTAAACGACGTTTTGACAATGACTTGCATGTCTAAATACATTTATAGCGCCCTCGGTGATTTATGTGACTGTTTGTCACAGTAATAAGGAAATAGAACTGAGTAACACACACACCGAGCTATTTGGGTCTTCATTTACTTGAAATCATTTCTCTCAAATTTTGGCTCGTAAAAGCCGTCCTTCCCCGAAGAAAATACCGCAGTGACATTATCAGCTAATTACTTATCAAATAATCTACATATTTTTGTTGTAAGAGGATTTGCATGGGGGTCCTGCATCTTCAACAAGTTCACTTTCAACCCAAGCACCATGCGGTGGATTTTAGGGGCAGTTTTAGTAGCTTTTGCTTTGATTGAAGCTGCTGACCAGAGGTAAGTGTTGACCTCCTTATTGCTATTGTTGACCTCCATAATTTAAGTCATGTAGATGCTATTGTACACTAAGATAAAGCAAAATGAAGAAAGAGAAAAACGTATGTCAACAATTGCAATGAGATTATTTTAGGTAGCATCTTGGCATGGTACAATGTACAAATGTGCCGAATTCGGTGCTTCTCGATGTAATTGCATATTTTTCAATTTTTGCAGGCTTTTGTTCAAATATCACGCCCATGATTGGTCACAAGTTACTGTGTATCTTATCTTGCCGTTATAATATCTAACTCATTGGTCATTGAATTGTCTTAGTGACGTCAAAAATGACGGCATCTTCATGGACGAGGCATCAGCCAAAGCGTTCGGCCCACGGCGGGTTAAGAGGAGCTGGCTGGGTGGTATCATTAAGAAAATAACTGGAGAAGAACGGAGTGAAGAGAAAGAAAGCCGGAAGGAGACGGCCAGACGAAATGAGTTGAACAGATTCTGTACCGCCAACTGTTGGTCGCAGTGGACGCCATATTCCCCGTGCTCTGTCCAGTGTGGACATGGAGGTGAGGACTTAAACAATGGTGTTGGTATTATTAGATGATACTGTCCAGTGTGGACATGGAGGTGAGCACTTTAACTAAATGGATGACCATATAAATGGGCAAAACTCCATTGATGATTTGCATTTGTAAATATATTACATGTAGCTAAAAATAAATAAATAAATAAATAAATAAATAAATAAATAAATAAATAAAAGAGTTTATACATTGTTCGTTGTATGTATTGGCAAAATGATGACAACATAAACAAATTAATAAGCATAATATGACAAGCAGAGCAAAAGACATAAGTGGACAGCAAAATATCACAAGGTACAAACTGAAAAAAATGGGTGAAATACTCTGTATTGGTAAATTCAAAGTATTGTATTCTGACATGTAGGCACCAGAACACACACGCGATCTAAAGCTCCTCCAGCGAGGTGTTCAGGCTGGGCCGCCGGACACAACTGTAACGGACCCTCCCTGGAACGCCCGGGGTGTTCTGTACCCTGTAGTAACGGTGGCACCCCTGGGAATGCGATGTGCTCCTGTCCACCCGGGTTTATTGGGAAATGCTGTGAGACCAGTAAGTACTGTGTAGAAGTATTGTCCGTTTTATGTCTGTTTTATTTGGCGTGCATGCTAATTGCACAGATATTGTGTATGGTGTTGATAGAAGATAATCATTTTTTTCAACACTGTACTATGTGGAAAGCCCCTTTCCTCCGCCCCCGAAAAAAGACCCGAAAGCAGGATTACCTCTAAATTTGTAAAACATCTACGGACAATCTCTGTCTTTATAAATCCCTGCTGCATAAAAATTTATAAGATGTTAAATGTCAACTGTGTTAGTTTATGAGATGACTGTTGGCAAAATCTATACTTCAAATTAGACAGGTTATAATGTTTATGATTGTCAAACAGAGGTCACCTGTCAACATCCGGGCAGACCAGCTCATGGTGACGTCACTCCCAGTTCTCCCCCGCATGACATAGGCACGAGGGTTACATATAGATGTGAGACCGGCTACCGCCTGCAGGGAACAGACACTCGAACTTGCCAAACTAACGGCAAGTTCGATGGATCATTGCCGACTTGTGAGCGTAAGTAAAATGATATATTTTAATCTTTATTATTGGGATTAAATCTTCATCTTATATTTCAAATGTCTAGGGTTCAAGTATTTGACATTTGA